AAAAAGAAACGCTAGAATGAATTTCCTCTATGTTCACACACATAAACATATATGAGTATACGGTATATAGTTTCTTATTGCAAACATAATAAGCCTATGTGAAAATACAGACAAAAGTAAGAAATGGAAATCATTTCTAACCTCAGTCAGGAAAAGATGATACTAATGCTTTGGCATATGTAATTATAGTCTTATTCCGTAAATATTTATTTAAAATTTTAACCAAAAAATTGAAGTAGTACTTCTTTATATTGTGTTTCATAATTATTTTGCATTTTAAATGCAAATCTCTTGTTATCTAGGGGCCTCAAAATCAAGTAATTTGGTGAAAGGTGCCTATTTCTTTTAATTGCTAGGCTAAAAAAGTAACAGCAAAATATGAACATCTGTTAGAAAATGAACTCTCACCTGTAATCCCAGCACTTTGGGAGGCCAAGGTGGGCAGATTGCTTGAGCTCAGGAGTCCATGACCAGCTTGGGCAACATGGTGAGACGCTGTCTCTATAAAAAATACACACATTAGCTGGGTATGGTGGTACCTGTAGTCCCAGCTACGTGGGAGGCTCGGGAGGCTGAGGTGGGAAAATTGCTTGAGCCCAGTGGCGGAGGTTACAGTGAGCTGAGATTGTGCCACCACAACTGCATTCCAGACTGTGCGACAGAGGGAGACCCTGTCTCAAAAAAAAAAAAAAAAAAAAAAAAAGACAGAGAGAGAGAGAAAGATAGAGAGAAAAGAAAATGAACTCTGAACAAAACATGGGCAATCTCCAGTCAAAATTCCCTGGCGTGCGCCATCTCTGATACTCTGTTTTCCTTTAGCTCTCCTATCACATGAATTTCTTTAGTGAGTTAAATTAAAATTTCATTCCACTTTCCGAAGGCACAGAGTTCTAGTAAAATCTACATAGCAGATAATTCTAACCAACAAAGATGCAAATCTCTCACAAAAAGATCGGACTGCTACTTCTGTGGATCTGGAAGATGCTCAAATGTCATTTCAGTATGGTATGAACCAGTAGCCCCAAATAATAGATTAAATAATTTCCAAGAATAGTTAGGTCCCAGGCACAATGGTGTACCTAACATGATTACATACTTTTTATCTCATATGATCGTCATGGCAACTTTGTGGAATAGGTATTATAATCATCCCCATTTTATGGAGGAGGACACTGAGGCCAGTGGTGTTGAATACAGTGATGCTGTATTCTTTGCCAAGTTGAATAACTTGCCCAAATATAGATAACTGGCCAGGCACAGTGGCGCACGCCTGTACTCGTGACACTTTGGGAGGCCGAGGTGGGTGCATCACTTGAGGTCAGGAGCTCAAGACCAGCCTGGCCAACATGGTAAAAACTCCATCTCTACTAAAAATACAAAACTTAGCTGGGTGTGGTGGCGGGTGCCTGTAATCCCAGCTACTCAGGAGGCTAAGGCAGGAGAATGGCTTGAACCTAGAGGCGGAGGTTGTAGTGAGCCAAGCTGAGATCATGCCACTGTACTCCAGCCTGAGCAACAGAGTGAGACTCCATCTCCAAAAAAAAAAAAAAAAAAAAAAAAAAAAGATAGATAGATAACTGTTCACTCTTTTTATTCTAAATCCAATGTATTTTCTACCAGCCATAGCTATTTGAAGTGCTATAAGGGCAATTAAGACAAAGGCTGCATTATTGTCATTTAACAAGTTAAATATTTTGAAAAAAATCAGGCTCCTTCCTCATATCACACTTTAAAAATGCATCTTATATTTGAAGGTGGGAAGAAGTTTGTCTGCATCAAAAGTTTTAAGATATATATCCAAAAACATCATGAACAAAATTAAAAGACAAACTACAAAGAAAAAAGGTTAATATTTTTAAGATGGTTCTTAAAATTAAATTAGAACAAGAAATTTAGCAAGGGATATCAGCTAGCAATTACCAAAAGAAGAAATACACAGTGTTAATAAGTGGAAACAAGCACTCAATCTTAATAATAATAAAATGAAAATTAAAACTAACAAATACCATTTTTTGCTAATCAACTAGTATAGTTAAAAAAAAAAATGATGCCATGCCGTACACTAATACCACAGAAGGCAATGGATACAAACTTTTTGGAACAGTTTGCTAATATGAGTCAAGAGATAACCCAGCAATTCACAATCAAAAAATTTATTTTAAGCAAGGATATGAAATAGTTTGTAAATATATATGTAGAAGGATCACCATATTATTTAATTACAAAAATGTTCAAAATAAATGCTCAGCAATAGAAAGATGATCAAATAAACTATGATTCATCTCACAACAATTACAATTTATGTTTTTGATTCTTTTCTTTACACTTTCATGTAAAACCCCAGTTTTCTTCAATGAACCTGCCTTATTATTTTAATCAGGAAAAAACATTATTCTAGAGATATCAGGAGCCAAATCCATTATCTGTACTTAGGTCTGTTCTAGACTGTGTGAAGTGATTTATTTAAGAAATGACACTCATGTTTATTATGCATTAACTCTGAAAAGCTCATCGTGCTGTATTCTTTGCCTATTTGATCTCATTCAAGTCTCATGACAACCCTGCTAGGTAGATACAGTCTGTGGTCAGCACTTTAGAGTTTCAGTGAAACCTGATGAACAATATTAAAAATAAGAGAATAAGGTTGCCTTCTGAGAGTTAAAGTTAAACATAATAATTAGGAAAGGAAATATAAAAATTACCTGAAAGCGACAGACTGGCCCCTGGACCCCATAGACTACATGTCTTGATGCAGCTGAAAGGATAGACAGGCCTAGTGGGCTAGGGCAGGGCAGAGAAGGGGATGTCACAGAGGCCAGTGTGGGCCACATCCATCCAAGAGCCTCAGCCAACACACTTCCAGAGCTTCCAGTCCCTTTGGTTGCGAGAGCTTTTCAAATTTGTGTTAGCTGAGGAAGCGGACCACAGATGGGGGAGGGGTCAGATGTGACCAAGAGCATCCATTCTGGGGTGGTTGCCTTGGGCCATCTTGGACTGTGCCATTCAGTGCTGGGGTCCTCCAATTCCCCTTGTTCTGAAGCCTGGGGACACATCCAAACCTCACCTGCTTTCAAGGAAAGTCTACTGATAGGAAGAAAATGATGGTACTCACAGGCACCAGCATTCTGGTCCCAGTGAGAGCATCCTTACTCAGTGTGAAAGAATCCATGATCACTCTGATCTATCTGTACACACAGTTAATTCTCATTATTCATGGTAGTCATGTTCCATAAACTTGCCCCAAGCAATGAATTATTGAATATTGAATCATTGCTCCCAAGGAAAATGTAGGGTTAGGTTCCTGTGAGACTCTGGCTATCACATTTTCATCAACAAATCACTACATAACCTTATTTTATGTGTGCTTCTGTTTAAAGATGCTGTATGTAATAGATCTCATTGAATTATAAACATTGAACTCCATACAAAGGCACTGTAACTCATGCCTGAATGAAGCTTGTCTCACACAGCTTATTTTCTCCATGAGACACATCGCAGCCTTCTTACACTTAGGAACACTAAACAGCATTTCAACATTATGCTTGGGGGCTATTTTAAACAGTGAAACCATCCATGAAAAGCATAAAAATGCAAGAAAGGTAGCACCAAGTAGACAGTGAAAAAGACACTGACTTAGAGTTGGAGGCCTGAAATAAGAAGGCAGGGCACCACGGTGTTTGATTCCAGTTGGGAATGTGCACATAGGGAGATGCTTTGTTTTGGGTTTTCTTGTTTTGTTTTGTTTTGTTTTGCCTGTCTACACATGTCCACAAATGATTCAGAAAACCCTGCAAGTATTAATTAGGGAGTTACAAATAAATTTTAGCAAGTAGGTTAATTCACAAATATAGAATCTGTGAATAATGAAGATCAACTGTATACCTCAGGCAGATTAACTTGATGAACTGAAGCCTAACATTGAAAAATGCACCTTCTCGTGCTGACAAAGTAGTCTACTGGACCTGCAGAGCCAAGGCCCAGGCCCCACATGTGCCCATATTAAGAATCAACCAGTTCTTCCCCAGGCAGCACATCATTCCCTCACCAGGGGCTATGCCTTTTTGTCTCTTTGCACTTCTACACCAATGATTCTCAAACTTTAGCATGCATCCAGGCTTGGTACAACACAGGCCACTAAGCCCACCCTCAGCATAGCTAACTCAGCAGGTCTTGGGTAGTGGTTCAGATTTTGCATTTCTAACAATTTGCCAAGTGATGCTCATGATGCTGGTCTAGGGACTTCAGTTGGAGAACCTCTCCTCTATACGATTATCCTCATTTTAAAATCCAAAGCTCAGGAGTGTTGAGTAACTTGCCCAAAGTTTCATGCACAGCTAGAAACTTGCTTTCAAAATAAGATGTGGCTGAACTCATGATCAGCCCTTTGTGTTCTACTGTAATATCTTTGGTGCAGATTTCATCGTAATGTTGTACTTTAAGTAGTGGTTTTATTTCTAGGCTGGCCTATTCAATCCCAGTATAGTTGGACTCTCAAACCAAGAATGCTGCTACAATTGTTGGGCCCTTGGCAGGCAGACCTGGTGGTACAGGAGGGAGCAGAGAAAAAAGAAGACAGGTTCCTCTCTTGTCTTGCTACAGGGTGATTCATACTTGATGACAGCCTGAGATATCAGAATACAAAGGAATTGTCATTGTATAAACTTAGTGGTGAATTTTGGTTGGGAGCCCATAGAAGGTAGTGATTATACACACACACACACACACACACACACACACACACAGAGGAGTCTGATCACCTGATTATCTGTTATCTGAGTCTGAGCCAGTGCAGGACACACAATAAGCTCTAAATAAGTGTTAGCTAATATGGTCAACATAGAAAGGGTGGGAGATGATGTCAACAACCTTAACAGTGAGATTCATAGCTGAGTTACAGAGTCAGGCCCTTTAGAAAAACTAATCTTCATTTAAGAGAATGTTGCTAAGCTATCAGATCCATTACATTTCATCAATAATATTTTTGCATCTCACTTTTGCAGTAGTATTCCATACTTCTGTTTACCTACATTTGGATTCAAGCACATTTTGCCATTGACAAATGATGCTGAAAGATTCAATGAAATTGTGAAGAATCAGAAAATTTCTGCTAATATCGACACACCTGAAGGTGGATTTGATGCAATTATGCAAGCTGCTGTGTGTAAGGTATGCTGAAGGGAGTGCTGTTTCACGCTGTTAACATAAAGTTCATCTCTTATTAACAATTCTACTTCAAAAAGATTAGCTAATTTCCTTTCCTTTGATCTCTAAATTTCTACATTTTGTATTTTTCTTAAAATACACAATTTTTGCCAAATATTTAATTAAATCATGTTGAAATGGGGACTGTTCTTTATGCCTATGATGAATAATCTAAAAACATTGTGTTGGGAAAATTTAGTTGAAACAATAGCTATGCATGATTAATTTTCAAAGATCAAGATCAGATTAGTTTTTGGATTAATCATGGTAAAAAAAAATCAAGGGTAGAACATTTATTTTAAAAAGTTAAAATGCTCTGAATCAGTATATGTCCATACATATGACTACATAGCTATTGTTTTGAACCAACAAAGTAAGCTTTGGAAGTGTGCTGTCTCTACAACATCACAGGAACACTGCTTCTCCTTGACTATCTGACAAGTATCCACAAGAATGATTCCCTTGTCTTTAGGCAAGAGCCCTTCATGGAAAATACCAGGAAATAAACAAGGCTGAAGCTCCTAGAAAGTGGGAGGACTAGGGAATTAGAGGAGGAAGGAAAGGAATAATGTGGGATGGAACAGCCAGGATACGTTTTTACCCAATTGGTTCCTGAACTAATATTAATTAAAGGGGAGGGCTTTACTAAACACCAACAACAGACAATTTTAATTAGCAGGACCTTGGGGCCATACTTTCATAAGCAATGCTTATCCTTGTATTAGGTTTATAATTTTTGGATGACATCATTAGAAAGAGAAATATGTGCCTAAATGCTGGGTAACATTTTAATGAAACAGGCTTACTTTGAGCCCCTTTAACATTGCATTTTCACGAGTTTGGCTTCAATTTGGATTTGGGACCATCTATGAACTCCTCTGCTCAATTTTTTGGAGAACTGAAAGCTGGATTGTAAAAATAATTTAACTATGTAAAAGTCAAGATCAACTGAATACTGATTGTAGTGGAGCTATGCTTTTCTGAAGCATAAATCATATGAAAATGTTATCCAGGAAAAAGCAAATGTCACAGAATTTCATGTTTTATTAAAAACATTAATATTATCAATTCACAATAGATAAAAAGGCTAAAATAGACTAGCAATATTATTTTTATAACCTAAATGTGTCCCAGCATAATTGATCCACACTCAATAAAACGCCTGCCTCCCTCCAGTATCACACAAATGTTTGTTTCTCACTGTAGGAAAAAATTGGTTGGCGGAATGATTCCCTCCACCTCCTGGTCTTTGTGAGTGATGCTGATTCTCATTTTGGAATGGACAGCAAACTGGCAGGCATCGTCATTCCTAATGATGGGCTCTGTCACTTGGACAGCAAGAATGAATACTCCATGTCAACTGTCTTGGTGTGTAACCTGCACTCTGTACTGTTTTCAGGGCTATAAGTAGGAGAATGAAGCAACAACTGGTGTAATACATGTGAAATAATTCACGCTTGGTGAAAGCCGTGCACATTTTCTAATCTGAGATTAACAAGTTGCCCCAGTTCAATTCTCACCATCCTTAGAGATTCCCACCGGAGCATAGGTGGGCAGTGGGACATGTGGGAAGCTGGATGTGCTATGAATCCCATGATCCCAGAACCTCCCCAACCTCTCAAAAAGCCTGGTGCTGGTGAAGCAATACAGGCAGCTCATTCTGTTCTTAGCCACGGCCTCAGAAAGGAGGGACCCAAACCAGAACAGTAACCATATAGGATTTGCAGTGAATGATGGTCCCTGAATCGTGCCATGCTTTCATGTTCCATGGGTAACAACTAGTCAGGTATGGCTTGGTTGGTGCTTATTAACCTTTGGCTTATTTTTTGTAATTTATAAAATGCTAGTGACATTCAAAGAAAACAACTGACTTTCGTAAAACCAGGAAGAAATTTCAGAGCTCTTTGGACATGCATGATCTTCTCAATAAACCCCTATGTATCCAACTGCTTTTCCTGAACAGACCATGAGGCTGTCATGCTTGTGCACATGTTATTCCCTCTGCCTGGAATATTCTTCCCTCCTAGCCTGCTGAGAAACTCTTCATTATCCTTGAAAAGCCAGCTCAGTCATTACTGTCCCCAGAGAGCCTTCTTTGACCTCTGGTAGGCTCTGAAGCAATCATCTTTCCCTTCAGTTGCATATGCAGATATGTTCTTGCACATCTCTACGTAGAAATACGTTTTCTTACATCTCTCTTTCTTGCGCAATCCTCAGGGCCAGGCCTGGTTTATTATCTCTGTTTCCTGATAGCACAGTGCCTAGAACACAGTGAGTGCCAACTCATGTATGAAATAGAGGCTGGGCGCATTGGCTCTCGCCTGTAATCCCAGCACTTTGGGAGGCCAAGGCGGGCAGATCACGAGGTCAGGAGATCAAGACCATCCTGGCTAACACTGTGAAACCCCGTCTCTACTAAAAAATACAAAAAATTAGCCAGGCACGGTGGCGGGCACCTGTAATCCCAGCTACTCGGGAGACTGAGGCAGGAGAATGACGTGAACCCGGGAGGTGGAGCTTGCAGTGAGCCAAGATCGCACCACAGCACTCCAGCCTGGGAGACAGAGCAAGACTCTGTCTCAAAAAGAAAGAAAGAAAACAAAGAAATAGATTTGATTTCTGAAGCAGCAATCTGCGATTGTCATATTTTCCCCATTTAACACTTGGGGAAATATGGTACAGAGAATTTAAGTGACTTCTTAGAACAATGCTGTGGAGGTGTAGGTGGGGGAGAAAGAGAGGAGGAGGGGGTGCAAGAGGAGAGAAAGAGGGAGACAGGAACCTAGAATTCTAATGTCAATTGGAAAGCTATTCTCTAAAAACTCTTAACAGTTCATTACTCACTACTATTCCTTGACCTAAATTTCTAAATTTCAACATGAATATTTTCCCCAAACATTTGATCAGTAGTATTCCCCAAATGTGTATATTCTTTAATCACATACTCTGCCTTTTCATATTACAATATCAGTGACGATAGCCACATGTTGTCTTTTAGTCAGTGAGGGGCAAGAAACTGGAAAATTGATCCCCTTTTCATTACCCTTTTCTTGCAACTTTTCAAAAGCTCCACAAAAACTCCATTTTGAATGAGGCAAGATCATAAAAGCTAACACTACCTAATGCCTAATATGACCTTCTCAGCTAATAAATGTTCAAGTCCTTCTTTCTGAATAAGTTGAAACAAATCCACAGAAGCCAGAGACCATATCTATGCCTGTCTCCAACATAGCCCCCAGGTCCTCTGAGCACTTCCTGTGTACTCAAAACTTGGGCCAGATTGCTCAGGCCAAAAAAATAATACAAGGTGGTTCCTGGCCTTGAACTTACAATATGGTTGTGGGAATTAAACCAACAGATCTGATTTAAATAGAAAACCAGCTTCACTCACCTACGAAGGGCTATGTGGTGTGATCCTGGCTACACACTAGCACAGCAGATGAGGGGTGTGGTAACATGTGGAGATAAGGAGAGACTGGCACTGGAGGGATTTAGGCATCAGCATAAAGGATTTGTATGCAGTTAAAAAGCAGAGGAAATGGATACAATTTGGTATCTCTATTAATAAAAATCCAAATGTGATGGAAATCACATATGAAACAGCAATTTGCAGTTGGGTAATTTACTGCAGTATTTTAGGCAAAACTACGCTTTTCTCTCAACTTGAACCCTATGCCTAAAGAAAATCCTCCAGTAGTACTGAGAATATGTGAATATTCCATATCAGTGTACAGGAGGGCTTATTTATCAGTGTTCCTCCCTTTGGCTGACTTCTGTCATAATCAACATATTCTTAATTTAATTGTTAGCAGGCTAGTACCTCACTTGAGTTTCCTCTTTGTACATTATTCACATTTAGATTCATATAATGGGCAGATGCACATCATGTTTTCCAAACTTGAAAAGTAAAGTCCGTATTCAAATTTAAAAATTAAGCTTCTTTTATTTTTTGTAAAGTACTCATATCACTGAGAATGAACATGCCAATGGAACAGAAGTACAATGTAGTTTTCAATTGTCCTGTGAAAATATTGCAGGATTCCATACAACCAACTTGTGATATTAAAAAGGCAGTCAAACCAAACCCAAGGATTAGTACAGGAATGTCATAGTATGTCATACCTCAGCAACCCTCATTCCACCTCATCCAATTCCAATAGGAGTTTCAGAGCTACAAGAGTCACCTCAGTCACGTATATCATAGTCCAACAGCCCCTCCCTCGACTGTAGCATCCCTAGCCTGCTGGTAAGTGTCACTTAGAAGGAAAAGAAATGTTTCTCTACCCTTGAAAATATGACACACTGTTAGTCTTTAAATAAATTTCAAATGATCTTCTTAGAAGTGGCAGACCATGATACACCACATCAACAGGAACTGACTCTTAGGACTTGACTGGATTTATAAGATTTAGAAAAAGATTATTAAACCAACTACGTGAATAATGCTAATTGTGTATTTGTTTACTTAGAGTGATAGAGCTATAATGCCTGTGAGCATTGAAATGCCAAACTCAGAAAGATATCTTTGAAATCAATATTCCTTTCTTTATTTACATTATCTTATTGAGATGATGCAAAATTATATATGTTAATTTTAGGAATATCCAACAATTGGACAACTCATTGATAAACTGGTACAAAACAACGTGTTATTGATCTTCGCTGTAACCCAAGAACAAGTTCATTTATATGAGGTAAGCAAAAATATCTTGGGAAATTCCTTCAAGGAGATTATGTGACATGAAACTTTAACATTAACTCTGTGAGTTTAACACATGGGAAGACCATTAGATAATCATTAACGCATACCAAATGTACTGGGCGTTTGGCTAAGTGGACTCATTTAGTGCTTGCAATTTAAATTGTAAACACCAAGGTGCAGTAGGGCATGGGGAGCAGATAAGGTGGGATGAGAAAGACTGAGTTAAGGAAATGAAATAGATAGATTGGAGGAGAGTATCAACAAATATAGGACCACCTACCTAAAAGAAAATTTATTCTCTGTCCCCTTGAATTATTTCATCTGATGAGGGAGTTAACAGAGAACAGAGAAAATCTTAAGAATGGGAGGAGAATTGGCTTCACCTTCTTTGGCATTTGCAAATTAGATACTTAGAAAAGACACACACAGAGACACAAGCTATTGAGAAGTGGAAAGTTAAAGGAAAAAAACTTGTTATATGGGGCCAAAAAATAATTTACCCCTTAAACCAGCTGGATTGCAGCTCAAGTGTTTGAATGGAAGCACCAACTGGAAAAAGGGAACGGTTTCATTAGATGAAGTGCTGTCCCCAAACCACTGTGCAAACTGCAAAAAAATACAACATATGCACATACAAAAGGTTTCTGTGGTTTTTTCCTAGCCTAGGAAAAGTAATATGTCAAATGCCCTGAATTGATTTACTCCTAATCTACAGTTTTACAGAGAAGTAAGGAGTCTTCAGCAGGGGCCCTAAAAATAATGCAGAGAAATTAAATAGTCTGTGCCTTCTGTGCAGAAGCGTCAAATGCTCCTAAATACAGAGTTTGATCTCTCATTCCTTTTGAAAGGACCTCTTAACTTGCTTGGTGACTTCACAGGGCTTCTGAAACTCTCAGATTATGTCACAGAAGGCTTTGATTAAATGCCACTCACTACTAAGGACGGTACAGCCCCATGAACCTGCATCAGGTTCTGTAGAAAGGATCCAGCAGGAGATGCTATCTTGCATTTTGAATGAGAGGAGGGTATTGTACTCCCAGGTGAGGTTGCCTTCTGCTGCAAACCAAGGAAGTTCCTTGCAATCAAGCTCCGTACTTGAAGCCTTTGTTCTACACAGAGACCATGTGGGTTCACCTGATCTGGGCATTTTCTTCAGGCTTTTTAGTATGTGATATTTGTTTCCAGTAGTTTTAAGTAGTAGAGTTGCAGTTGAGACTTTTTTTTAAATACCCCCAAATACAATAGTGAGTCTATTCTGCCTTTGATCCTTAAGGCTAGTGTGAGAGGACCCTGGGGGTCACAACACCTTCTCCACAGCAAGGCTCCAGTTTAGGAGTGGGAGAAGGAGTTGCACAGGACTTTTCTTCAAAGGAGAGTCTAGGGAATGCGATTGATGATCATGAACATAGACTTCCATAACTCACTTTGGTAATAGTCTTTAAGACTCACAACTCATTTATACGTCTCCCCAAAACCGCTATTAAAAAGACAGAGGAAGATGAAAAATCACTACATGGCAAAACAGAATCTGTCGGATTTAAGCTAGTTGCGTCCATGATTCCCCTGTTGCAAGGGAAATGATCATTTCCGAGGAAAATGCCAGATTAGAGCCTGCCTCTAATGTAACAGCAGGACATCGATTTTGCCTGTCTTCTAATCTCATTATGAGGTGAATTTATGTTCTGTCATGATCTGTGGTCTTTACCATCCAGCCTTCACTAAATTCAAAGGGACATTTTCAGGGGTCATATGACAGTCCAGGTCAGCCACCCGCTCTATGACTCTGACCATTTCATTGTTTTATTTTTATTTTGATGGGCTCATCATTCCATCTGTATTAGTGGGGGCAGGCAGCAGCCTGGCCTAAAGATAATAACAGCAACAGTGCACGTCCTTGAAGCCTTCATGCAGCATGAAAATGCTGATCTTCCCTTTTATTGATAATGAAAACTGAAAACGGTCCACTAGTGGCTTGTGTTGCCTTTCAGTTCACATCTTTTAGGAGTCCTGTGTGTGCAGGAGTCCTGTGCAATTTGATGTTTGGATAACTGTGATATAAGGAACGTAGCTACTGAAGAATCACTGAAAAATAAAAACCAGTGATAGAATAAATAAAATGATTAAGTGGTTAGATCTCATGAAAATTCCAGAAGGAAAATTATTTGCCCGAGTTACATGTTAAGCATAGTTACTTGCCTGCACAGGCAGCACAGGTTTAGGTTCGACGAAGGCCCTGTCTGCAGCAAATTAAATTTATGTTGCCCACTCATGGAATGCAGGAAAAATGACTGTTTTTTTAGTAATTGTGGTAGGATGCTTTGGACTGCCCAGGCGTGTAGTGTGCCTGTACATTGTTGTAACAGAGATGAAAGGTGAAAAGCATAAAGTAAGCAGTTTTGCCTTTAGTTCAGTATGACTGTAGTGTGCACCCCAGGCTCCAGCCAACAGAATATTTTTGAACAAACTTATTATTATGAATAGTTTCCTGTTTGTCCAATTATAGGGTTCAAAAGATAATGATGATAATAGACTGAGCAGTGGGTAGTATATTACATTCTAGAGCTAACTACCATTTTGAATCAGGATTCAATTACCCAAGTTAAAAAAAAAGTGTTTATATTTCCTCTGTTATTTTAAAATGTTTACTGTTAATTTTACGATAGATAGTATCAGGCCACTAAACCTTAACTGTCTTATTTGAATAGTTTCTCTTTCCTAGTGAGCTATTGAGATAAAAAGCAATTAAATCAATATTCTTTATGATGTTGTCGAATCTTATTGTTAATCACTGTGGGTTATTTCCAAGGCTTTAAAATATCCTATATCTATTCAAAATACCTACATCTGGCTTGAAAGATGATTTTAGTGAAGTTAATAGCAATAATTATTATATGACCTGGTATTTGTGTGTAATGCTGAAACACAGCAATTAGAAAGTAAACAAGAAGTATACTGGTACTTCCAGTTTACTCACTAACTTCTGTGACCACTGATTAATATCTCTTGGCTATTAGGACAAAGCAATGTTTCTAAAGCCTGAGAGAAGGGGAGTACAAGCAGGTTTTTATGCAGCCAAAGGGACCTTTCCTCTAGAGACAAAAACCCCTCAATCATTAGCTCTTTGAGGAGAATAACAGGTCTTACTCATCTGTTTAGGCCAATTCTCAAAGCACAGTAGATTCTCAGTAGCTTTTGTGAAATGAATTACAAATTGCAATAAAAGCACTTCATCTTTTCTAAAATTGGGTCAAGAGAAAGACTTGGAGTTTTGCATGACAAATACTTGTTAAGATTGAGGAAGCCCATGTGCACAGAGCAAGGGGCGGCACCTGACCATTGCCAGGACCTTCTGCAGCCCTGGCTGTCCCTTCTTCCATCTCTCCCACATTGGACGCAGATGGCAATGAGGAAAGAACACTCTGCCATCAGTCTCAGGACCAACATGTTGGAGAAGCTCGCAGCCTTCTAGCAGGCCATAAAAGGAACACCCTGAGCAAGCACACACCTGATGACCATTAGATCTATAAACAAACATAAAGAGCAGCCACATATGCCATGAACCTGATGTCCTTGCGTGGCTTGTGGAGATTATCCACCATACGTAAGTTTCCATTTTTCAGGAATCAATAACCCAGCTATTATTTTACCTCTTCTTTCTTCTACTTGGTTCTTTTGAGCTTTTCATTGCAGCAAGGGAGGAAAAGAGGCAGAGAAAATAGAGAAAGAAAATAAACATTGGACCCCTTTGCTATTTGTTAGCCTGTTCTATTATTGTTTCGTTTTATAATGTCCCTGTTGGAAAGATCAAAGCAATTTTGCTCCAGTGGAAATCTCTTTATCTCTCTGGCCTCAGTTTTTAGAAAATAAAAAGACTGGGTGGGAAGACTTCCAGCCTCAACAGTCAATGACCTTGATTCTGGAGGAGGGAAATTACCATGAATTCCAATGATCTCCACACAAATAACAAAGTTTAATAAGCTGTAATGTAGCTAATTTTAGGGCACAGTCTAGATATTCTTTATCCTATCAATCTCATTCTGTAGTGGATGGAGTATTCCAAACTTATGATTTTAGTAAAAACAAAATCATCTAGGAGTAAAATGACAACTTCTGGGTTATAAGACATCTCCATGGAGGTAATAAATTGCTCTTTATTTAAGTGTAATGGAAAGTATTTTCATTTCTCCTTAACTGATAGTATCTGGGAACAAAGACTGAGGAGGGCCAGCTGCCTACACTTTCCTCATTAATGAAAACATGCCTTAGAGAGGCAAGATTTGGAAATAAACCTTATGTCCTCAGATTATCAGTCAGAGTTGTTGGGAGTATTTTCCAAGCTAATTGATAAATCTTAACCATGAAAAATCATCAGTTACTCCTTAGATCACACATAGTACTTTCCTTCTAAAGAACTCAAAGCCTCATAATTGAGAAAGTAAACACAAGAAAGAAAAAGGTACAGGTTTGAAGCAGGACCTTAATGAGATGCCTGATTAAGCCAATACTTGCAGAAATATAAAATGAGATTTTTTTTTTTCGTGAGACAGTGTCTCACTCTGTTGCCCAGGCTGGAGTGCAGTGGCATGATCTCAGCTCACTGTACCCTCCACCTCCCAGGTTCAAGTGATTCTCATGCCTCAGCCTCCCGAGTACCTAGGATTCCAGATGTGCGCCACCATGCCCAGCTAATATTTGTATTTTTAGTAGAGACGGGGTTTCGTCATGTTAGTTCACCAAACTGATCTCAAACTCCTGGCCACATGTGAACCACCAACCTCGGCCTCCCAAAGTGCTGGGATTACAGGTGTGAGCCACTGTGCCGGATCTAAAATGTGATTTAAATAATGCAAGGTCTAAATGCTTTGAGATTTACACAACACACAGGATACCTAGCATATCATTGAAACTAAGATGCTATGGACTGCATAGTCATTCATCCCTTCATTTCTCAAACATATCATGAGTACCTCCCGTGAACTAGGCCAAAGTTTG